GGTATCCTCTTTGCTTGAGTACAGTGCAGGTATGCCGCTGCCAGCTTTGGTGCTGCTTTTTAGGTATGTGAAAAGCATTTTCGGATTAATCGCAGATTGCTCGGCATGTGAGGCTGAAATAATTCTCTCTTTTCGCGCTTTCTCAGGGTAGATAAATTTCTAACGTCTTTGTAATAAGCGTAACCTTGCGCCGTCTGAGTGAACTTGAACCGGCTCTGAAGTTTTATAAATAAATAAATAAATAAACTTTTATTCTCGACCATGCGAGACACACCTTTAGAGGCATGCTCATGTTTAGCTAACAGTGTGATCAATTTTGTACAAAAGTACATGTTTGGCATAACAGTGTATGTAGGTGTATGAGTGTATATACGAATGTATTTGTGTATGAGGCGGGAGAGCCTATGGTGCGCTGAGGCTGGTGGTGGCTAGATCCTGACAGATGGTCTACCCACTGCTGCTACTGTTGCGCCATTGTCTCATGTCCTGGGCGCCTCCACGTGGCGACCGCTGGGTGGGAGTTAGGTTTCGCCCTTCTCCCTGCTAAGATCCGGGACAGCAATCCGCATGAGTCAGCTAACTGACCATGTGCTAGACCCGCTGCCTTTCGGGTGTTCATTTAATCGAAGGCTTTGGCTGAGGACCCGAGTCGTTCTCCTGTCAGGTGTGGGCGCCCTGGCAGTATCCTAGTCCATCCTCTCCGGAGGTTAGGAAGTGGGCCATCGACCACTTCCTGAAAAAACCTAGCCATGGGAGAAAACAAGTTTACGGGTTATATTCTCAATGCTCGATTGGCGTAGAGCACGAGCGCCACGCATTGTCTCTGGGGGTGGGAGGACAACTCCGGGTGTTCAATGGTTTGCTACAGCCCGCCTCAATGCAGGCAGCCCCAGGTCAAATTAATGCAAACCAACCAAAAAGCTCCTGCGTCTGGCCGTGGTCGCAGGTGTATCCTACTACGGTCGCAAAATAAATATGAAAATCGTTCCAGAACCTCAAAGGTTGCGTGTGACGGCCGTCAAGCAGATCCCAATCTGTCTCTGCAATCACATTCCCGAGCTGGATCTGCTCTCCACTGCCTTGTGGGTCAGGCTATTGAGCCAAAGGCTCCGGGTGGAGTCCCTCAAGCAAACCTCCAAACCACCCACGGCCTTGTGGTTCAGGCTATTGAGCCAAAGGCTCCGGGTGGAGTCCCTCAAGCAAACCTCCGAAGCACAACGACCACCTCGCGTGCAACTGCCCACCAATACAATCGTGTGCCTGCGCGCAAAGCACTCAGCATCGGGTGCTGGAACGTGCGCACCCTACTGGATCGGAACTCGAGCGAGCGCTCGGAGCGACGCACTGCACTGGTCGCAATGGAGCTGACGCGCTACCACATCGATATTGCGGCGCTCAGTGAAACTCGGCTCGCTGAGCAAGGTAAGTTACATGAAGCAGGTGCTGGCTACGCATTCTACTGTGTGGGCAACGCCGCCTCAGCACCACGTGAACATGGGGTCGGATTTGCAATATCCGACCGCCTGAATGGTCAGCTGGTGGGTGAACCAACGGGCATTAGCACGCGACTTATGACTGTTCGCCTACGACCCGAAAGAGGTAAGTTTGCTACTTGTATATGCACGTACGGTCCGACCATGTGTTATCCTGATGACACGCGTGATCAGTTCTACACTGAGCTATCCTTCGTGGTATGGTCTGTGCCGAGGAGCGACCGACTATTTCTGCTGGGTGATTTCAACGCGCGCGTTGGGCGTGATGCATCAGCGTGGACAGATGTTATCGGTTCGCATGGCATTGGTTCAGCGAATGCGAACAGTGACAGGCTGCTCTCACTGTGTGCCACTCACGGCCTGACGATCACGAACACTCGGTTTGCACTGAGTGCGAGTGATATAGCCCA